AGAAGATTATGATCGTTGAAGGCATTGTTAAAGAGTGGTGTGTGACAATCAAATGTCAATTTCAATAATTAAAAAGAAATAAAATTAGATTTATTGATGTTGTGCATAATGTATAAGATTTTTTTGATTAAAAAATTAAAAATTCTAAGCAAGTATCACTTTTACTACTCATCTAAATGAAAAAAATAAATGTATTACTAATATTTTTTCAATTAGTAGCACGCAACGTTTTTTTCTTCAAACATTGTGATAAATGATAATTTAAAAAAACAAGTCTAAAACAGATACGATACAACACAACGGCTTAAAAATTTACCAAAAATGAGTTTTGTCTTGAAATAAAAAATATATATTTCTTGTTCTTGTTGGTCAAACTGGTAAAAACCAAATAAAACAGTATGAAGTTTAATTTTATTTATTTTTTTTAAAACAACGTTCAAGTTTTTCGACCCATCTGCAATAAAAAAATTCACAAAAAAATGCAATCAAAGCAGAAAAACACCCAATCCCCCAGATATAAAAAATCAATTTCAAACTGTCAAAATCAAGTTCGTTGCTAGTCTTCTCCTTTTCAAGGAGCCTAAAAGGAGTAAAAGTTGCAAATCGCGTTCTAAAAATTTCCCTTTCCCATTTTCGAATAATCCCGGAAGTGAAAATTCGCGAAATCAGAGTTCTAATTCTTTGAGAAAATTGTAATCCTTTTCGCACCATAATGGTACCAGGATATGCTCCTACTGAATTTTTCAAACAATAAACAAGTGAGACATTATTTAATAAAATGTATCTATTGAAAATAAATTGAAGATTTGCAAATTGGGCAATTAAGTCTAAAATACTGATTTCAATACCACGGGTACCACTTGGGGGACCACTCCAGGAACCATTTGGTACGTTCATGATAAATGGTGGTAATTGAACCGCGCGCACTTTGATGGTACATTGATTGAGCCGGTTGGGGATTTTGGGGGGGTACCAATTGACTTTGGTACTCCGACCAAAGGAGCAAGAGTCGATTAATTTAATTTGGCTGAAGTTGGTGCCACAGTTACCATCACTGTAGGGGAACCACGTGTAGGCATTGAAGACAGTTGGGTTCTCATGGTCGGGCAGGAGAACCACTCCATTGACCACATG